AGAGGGGAGGAGGCACAGATTGGGGGGGGGACACACAAAAATAATCACTAAGGAAAGTGGTGTCTATGAAGAACAAGTCAATATCTCTTTACATTTCAATGCATCAGAAGTTGCTTTGCAGTGATTCGAAGGCCAAGAAAGCAATGCACCATACTGCAACATATGCACTGTACCCTATGGTAATTTTGAGGTGTTCACTTTTAAGACCTCCTCAATCCCCACTAGTTTGTAAGATATGGATTCTATTGTAGTAGCTATTGTTCAAGAGTTGCCTCTGTATTTACACTTGTAGAATATGGTGTCCCTGGTGACGAGCTGTGAAACTACCTTGATAGAGTTATATGCAGTGTTGTTGTAGCCGGGTGGATCCCAGGATATTAGGGAGACAAGGTGAGTAATATCTTTTATTGGACCAACTTCTGTTGGCAAAAGAGACAAGCCATTTCACCTTGAATGGTTCCTTGAAACGTGTGTGTTAACTATAAAAAGAACAGGATACAGACTAACACGGCTGCTACTCTGAAACCTGTGTTAACTATGTTTGCTAAACAATCTGTTCCACCTTGCACTTAACGGTGTAGTAAGTTTTTTTCAGACCTGCAGAAGAGCTCTGTATAAGCTCGAAAGCATGTCTCTCACAACAGAAGTTGGTCCAATAAAAGATAATACCTCACCCACCTTGTCTCTTTGATAAAGTTATGTCCATTGGGAAGGACAATGAGAGATCTCACATGAGGGTCATCAACCTACTCTACTTGAGAGAGTGCAATCCCCCATCTGTCTCAGTTTCTTCCCCCAAACCAGAGAGGCCTGATGTTAATTAGAATTCCAAGATAAAGAGGAAGGTGGGAGGACTATCAGTGCAAACCCAGAACAGTTATTGGTAAGTAACCTTTCTTCTTAGAAAGCCTCTGTACATTCCCCCTGTGGGAGATTAGCAAGAAGTGCCCCATCAGAATGGCAGATGGTGAGTTTTTAACTGAAAAGGGCTGTAGCACTGCTCTCCGAAACTAGGCATTGGAGAACGATGCTAAATCCAAGGAGCAGTGTCTGGTGAAAGTGCATCAAACTCCAACTCGCTCCTATGCGTGACTCCACCCTGGGAACCTTCCTAATGCTTGCTACTGACACTGTGGTGACTCTCATGGAGTAGGTCTTTAAATCAGGAGGTACTGGATTCTTAGATAATATCTATACATCTCCTTAACCAGTGAGAGTCTGTTTGCTAATGGGCTCTCTTTGGCATCTCTCCACATATGCGATAAAAAAACCTATTAGATTTTCTAGAGGCCATGGTCTTTTCCAGATAAGAAAAGAGCACCCTCACTAGGGTATGGAGGTAAGTTTCCTTGGGTAGGTATGGGGTCTGTTACGAACAACACGGGAAGGGAAAACATTGATAGGTGGGATCCTGAGATCACCTTAGGCATGAAGCTGAGCTGGGCCTAATGGCACACTTGTCTTTGTGGACCACAGTGTAAAGGTTTGGTGATCAAAGCACTAAACTCACTAACCCGCCTAGCAACTGTACCTACAGATGCTCGAGATGCTTACACTAGAGGCTCACGGGAAGGCCCCATTAGCTTTGTTAGACAAGATTTAGGTCCCACAACAGCAGAGGCTCCCTAAAAGTGGTGATGGGAGAATGTATTCACCATGCCCTTCAGGAAACTGGAGACTGTAGGCAGAAAGAAGATTGGTTTGCCCTTAACCAGAGAAGAGTCCAAGTTAATAGGCATTGAGATGCCTGGCTCCAGAGAATTGTGGAGAAGAGGTGACAGTAGTGCAGTTAATCTCCAAGGCCCTTGTGGGTTGGAAAGTATGAAAGAAGAAGAGGGATGTCCCTGTCCCTTTCTTCTTCTACTTCTGCCCCTCTTGTGAGATGAGCTTCCTCTTCTATTGCCTTTTCCCAACAGGCACCTACATAGACAGGTGTCTGCAGTGAAGGAGAGATTTGGAGTCAATGTCAAGGGCAGCAGCGCTGAATGAGGAGTAGGCTGTGAGGTGGTCAGTTCTTGTGTCATCGCCAAAGCTACTGATGCTTTCAGAGGCAGTGCCAGTTTGGTCTTGGGTGCTGCTTTTGATTTCCCAGCAGTGCTGGATAAAGCATTTGCTCCTAGAATGAGGCAGAGGAGATTCCATCTTGGGCCCATGATAGAAGGCAGCAGAGAGGCTGGACTGGCAAAGTGAGTCTTGTGTCAGAGAGCCTCAGCAAGGAGACTGGTCTAGGTACCTCCAACAGAGCCAGAGTATCAGGCTGTAGACACTGAGAAGCCAAATGAATCTGGAGACTCAAATGTTTCCCCATTCCAGCGTGGGGAGTGAAGGTGTGGGAAACTGCACAGTGGGTCATCGAGTAAATCTTTGTTCAGCTATAGAAGGCACCAGACATGAGTGACAGTCTCCAGTACGATTTGGAGATAGGAGGTATGCCTCTTGAAATCTTTATGGGACTCTGGCCCTGACATGACCCTAGTAAGGGGCCAAAGGCTCTTGAGATAAGGGCAAGCTATGTATACTAAACTATCCTATACTACTATACACCATCTTCTTATTTTCTCGTAAGTTAGACTAAGGGAAGATCTAGCCTGAGGACAAAAGCAAGATATGTTTGCTTTCTTTGGTAGTGACAAAGAAACTGAGGCATTTGGGGGATGCATGCACAATCCCTTATACAGAGTAGGGTGATGATGTCACCATCATGTGAGGTCTCTTGTGCACCCCTAATAGACACTGCTTTGAGACAGTTCTGCAGCTCAACAGAAGGGATACCACATACTCACAAGTGGGAACACAGAGACCCTCAAAATGATAAATATTTTCTTGGCAAAAGTGTTTTCCACAGGAATGAGGACAACAAATATATAATTAAATTAAAATACAGTAATCCAAGTATTTGGGTTTACCAAATCCAGAAGTTTTTCAGTTCAACTTACCACTCACTCATTAGAACCTGTTGCAGTGTTTCATCATGTGACCAAAGACTAGTCTTTCCAGCTATTTTCCTATCTGCTCCAATACGAGGGAATAGCTGTAGCCATGGCAGTGAAGGGTGAAGCCAATAAATAAGACTTTGCTGGAATGCACAGCGGAGTTCCGTGGACAGCTTTGGTTCCTAGATTCCAAACACAGTGTTTAATAAGATTGTCTATCTCTCTGAGAAGAAAGATATTACCAGTCTCCTTTTCTGGCACTTCAAGCATTTATTTTACATTATAAACCTAAGGTCTTGTCTACTCTAGTGAATAGCCCCAATTCAGCAAGTGGTAGGCAGCAACTAGGGAACTGCACCAGTACTGTTTGCACTGTTGTACACCCAGTTCAAGGTCTAAACCTTAATTTAACAACCTCACAGTTGTTGCAAACCCTGACTTTCCTTTTTCTGCAGTAGGTGATCAGCACTGGTGCAGTTACACTAGTTGCTCAATAAGGGCTATTCCCAGTGTACACAAGAACTTAAACAAAAAAAAAACCCTCAACAACAGATCCTCCACACCCAGTATCTCCATTATGTTTAACATGATTACAGGAGAATGATTACCTGTATGCTTTGTGGGAAATTGATTGATGTTGCTCTACAGTGCTGGGCAAATCCTTGAGCCTCTTCTTGTGCCTTTAAATGCTCTGCCCAAGTAAAAGGTTGGGAAGAAGTGAATAGAAGTCGAGTTTTAATACTCCAGTCTGCAGGAAATTCTGTGCTTGGTGAGGAGGAAACATCAGGTGTGGAAACAGGTAAATGAAGATCCTTACAAAATAGAAATAATGTAAAGTCAAAATACAGGAAAAATATTTTTCATCTAAAAACTATCAGTCAGTGTTTTCGGAAAGCATACAGACACTCATGATTCAAGGCATAAATCAACCACGGACAAGGGTTAGGGAAAGTTTTTTCCTCAGAGAAAAAGTTATTTCATAATTGGCCACTACAGGGGTTTCTAGCACTTTCATTTAAAGCACCTGATACTGACAAGCATATAAGATACAGGAATTGATAGACCACCGATAGGAGTCCATGCAAAGAAAGCATGGAAGGCCTTGCAAAAACAACTTTTACCTTTATTGCACTGGACAGAAGCATTCCTTACCCATTGATTGCTATGACAGTAAATATAACAGTACCCAGTACTTAGTCATTGTAGAGGAACACACATGTGAAATTTAAGTTGTTCCTTGTTTACAAATACTTTAAACTGTTAACATTTATGATAATTTTAGAAGAATGTATTTTGTATTTCAGTTTATATCAATTAAAATAGACTAGCCAAAAAATCACTGTTTTGAGTCACGATCACTTTCCAGCTCAGATATACATACTTTCACAATACTGCAGTGTTTGGGTTACAAATGGCAGGAGGTTTTCATCCAAATAAAAACAAGTTGTTTTCACTGACATCTTAAGAGACTTGTCTATGTATTTGTTGTTTTTTTATTATGTACAAGTTTAAGAAGATATGAATTCTATGCCAGGTCAGACCAGTGGTCCACCATTGTTGGTGACTGGACAGTACCAAATGCTTCACAGGAGGTGCATGAAATCCTTTAGGCAGTAAGGGATAATTGTCCCCTTAGAGAAAGTTTCCTCCTAACCCCTGATACAAGTTGGCTGAAATCTAGATTTTGACTGTCAATTTGAAATCTACAGAGAAAAGGTGGGTGTGGTAATATCTTTTATTGGACCAACTTCTGTTGGTGAGAGAGAGAAGCTTTCGAGCTTACACAGAGCTCTTCTTGTTCTGAAAGAGCTGTGTAAGCTCAAAAGCTTGTCTTTCCTACCAACAGAAGTTGGCCCAATAAAAGGTATTACCTCATTTACCTTGTCTCGCTAATATCCTGGTACCAACACAGCTACAACAACACTGCATACAACTTGAAATCTAGTCAGCTTCAAAAAGTTAGTTTCAGGAATTACACCCTACTAAAATCAGTTATCAATGTTTGTAGTTTTACATTTCATTTTTTTTTTTAGGGGTTTCTCTCTTCTGTTACAGCACTGAAATATCTATAGGGACAACAGGGGAAGTGAATGACTATACAAGCAGACAAGAAAATGGTTATAGAAGTTTCTGTGAGAGGCGCAAATAGAAAAATTATTTCAATTTGTTTACATCTCTTTCTGTTACAGTAAATTTACATGCGTCAAGTAGTAAAGATTTCAGACAAAATATGACAGGTTTCATAGTAGCAGCCGTGTTAGTCTGTATCCGCAAAAAGAAGAACAGGAGTACTTGTGGCACCTTAGAGACTAACCAATTTATTAGAGC